GGTATGGGTGTGTGTTGTTGGTTCGTCAGGTGCTGATGCTCGCGTACGTCCGGAGGAAGGAAACCGCCAGGAACCAAAACCCTTTGGCGCTCCGCGCGGACCTCTTGGATCCGCGCCGGCCCCTCCCCCTCCAGCGGCGCCTCCGGCGCCACCCCCGGCGCGCTCCGCGCGCCCGGGAGGGGGGTCCATAGCGCAGATCCAAAAAATTCCGCGCGGAGAGCGCCCAAAAGTTGGTCTTCATGGCGTCTGTTCTTCTTCTGTGCGTCTCCTACCTCCTCAGCCCCGCCGCGGGAGCCTACGCCCTGGGCCTGCCGCGGCTCGTCGACGTCCAGAGGCACTTCGGCATCGAGGGCTACCGGCTCCTCCTCTGGAGCACCACGGCCCTGAGCCTCCTCGGCCTGCTCCGGCTGCCCTCACGCGACCCCGAGGTCCGGCAGAACTTCTTCCGCTTCCAGTTCGGCGCCGCGCTGTACGGCAGCCTCGCTGTGGAGACGGGCGTGCTGCGGGCCAACGCTCCCATCGACGTGTTCGAGGAGGGCCCCGGGCGGTGGGCTTTCCTGCTGCTGAGCGGGGCAGACTTTGTGCTGGCGCTGTACTGGATGTACACGATTGTCGCGGTGTCCCAGGAGGACGATGGCGTGGTCGCGGGGGTAGCGACCGATGCGCCAACTTCTTCGGTGGCAAATCATGGGAACCTGGTATGCCCACTCAATTCCTTCTTTCGCGTCGATTAGCGTCCGGGAGTCGATGGAATAGCGCCGATTTTGCGTCGGCTAGCGTCGAATTGCGTCGGTTTAGCGTCGATGAGAGTCGATCTAGCTCCGATTGGCGTCGATTCGCGAGAGCCGACAAGATGTTATGGGAGGCCCCCATGAGTTGCCACCGAAAGCTTCACTCGTGGCTGCCGCTGTGGGCCCCGTGCTGGGAGCCTGTGGTCTGCTCGTACCGCCACTCTTCGCACTGCTGGCGGGCGAGGAGGCTGCTGCGGAGTACCTTGCGGCACAGCCCGGCATAGAGGCCGCGACGCTGAACGCCACGGTTGGGCTGATCATGACCGGGAACATCGCGGTGTTCTGCCTCACAGCAACCCGGCGCCGGTGGCTCACAAACGCCCAGGCTCTCCCGATCGTGCTCCTGAGCTTCTTCTTGGCGTTCTACGACCTCGCCGCCTACGCCTCCGACCCCGAGCGCCGTCTGAAGCTCGATGCCCTGAACGCAGCCGCGTACCAGGCGCACCTGCCAGAGGCGGTTGCCGGCGTGGTGGCTGCTTCCATTCGGCGGCGAGCGAGGGGGGAAGGTGTGAATAGAACCCGTATAGTACCCTCATATATACTCCTTATCCTCACTCTCCTGCGCCTGGCCGTTTGGGCTCAGGTATTGGAATATATCGATCAGACCTTTGATCTTGCAGGAGGACACCAGCGGATCGGGGGTTCTGTACCTTTGTACTCCAACCCCATACACAGGTTTTCAGCCTTTAAAGCTCACACTTCATCGAACCCCGCGTCGCGATCTCGCACGCGGCCTCGATGGAACCCAAGCGGCGCATGCGCCGTAAGGGGTCCGTCGGGGCCTCGCGTCCGAGCGGGGGCGGGGGCGTCGTCGGCCTGCGGCTGCTGTCGCTGCTCTGCCGTGGCGCGGCGGCCGCGCCGCTCGGCCCAGCGGGCATCCCCGCCTGCGCGCCAGAGGCGCGGGATCCAGCGGCGTCGCCATGGGCAGCGCGAAGCGGCGGCGGATGCCGCGGCTGCTGCGGCTCCATGGCGCCATGTGTGTGGGAGGAGTGTGTGTGTGGGGGGGTCATTAGGATCGGTTCTAACCCTGAACTCACCCCCCCTGAATCGGCAGATCCCATGGCAGGTTCGACAGAGGCGAGTTTGGCAAGCTTACGCTGCGTCACCTTGTCACAAGTGCCTTCCCCGCTGGGCAAAGCAATTGTGATGAGGCCACGCTCTTGCCTGGTGCCTCTGTCCAGCCTGCCCTCGTTCAGCCGCCAATTCCTGCGACCAGCGAGGCCAAGCCTAACGCTGCGATCATGGATGTCGCAAGCGTCGCGCATGTCCTCGATGGTCCAGGCTTGCTTGCCAGTCTCCACACGAGCGACAGTCATCTGGTGGCGGAAACGTGTGGAGACCAGATGACTGTCGCTCGTGTGGAGACTGGCAAGCAAGCCTGGACCATCGAGGACATGCGCGACGCTTGCGACATCCATGATCGCAGCGTTAGGCTTGGCCTCGCTGGTCGCAGGAATTGGCGGCTGAACGAGGGCAGGCTGGACAGAGGCACCAGGCAAGAGCGTGGCCTCATCACAATTGCTTTGCCCAGCGGGGAAGGCACTTGTGAAAAGGTGACGCAGCGTAAGCTTGCCAAACTCGCCTCTGTCGAACCTGCCATGGGATCTGCCGATTCAGGGGGGGTGAGTTCAGGGGTTAGAACCGATCCTAATGACCCCCACACACACTCCTCCCACACACATAGCGCCATGGAGCCGCAGCAGCCGCGGCATCCGCCGCCGCCTCGCGCTGCCCATGGCGACGCCGCTGGATCCCGCGCCTGTGGCGCGCAGGCGGGGATGCCCGCTGGGCCGAGCGGCGCGGCCGCCGCGCCACGGCAGAGCAGCGACAGCATCCGCAGGCCGACGACGCCCCCGCGTGCCAAGCGGGCGCGTACGACAGAGGACTACGCAACGTGGTCGCGCCACAACCTTGAGGACAGCCCATGGGGCCCAAGGTACTGGAGCTACTACGCCAAGTGCTGGATTTACATCGCGGACAACAGCGACGAGTTCGTGTACATTCCGCGAGCTGCTGCACAACGAGCGGTTCCGCAACTGGACCCCCAAGGACGCCTTGGGAGACATTCGCGACGAGCTACGTCGATAACGATGGCCACAGGGTGTGGGACCACAGGTTCTACATGAGAGGCACTTCGTAGTTTTGTTTGCCGCAAGGCCCACTGCTCGATTGGCTTGAACTTCATCCTTCCAAAAGTTCGCCTCGAGCAGTGATTACCAATATAATCTTCGGACACTTCACTATTCAAGACAAGTGGCCGCCCACGCGCAACTTGAGAAACCCAAGGCAGACTCCTAAGGAGCAGCGCCGAGGGGAGTTACCAATTGCAGAATTTGTTAATGCGGTTGTTCGTGCTTATCAACACGACCCTACGCTTGGCCAGGCGTTTGCTTTGATGATTGAACGTGTTTCTTAACACGATCGTGTTCCTCAGCACGACTATTTCCCTTATTCTTTACATTATGATTCGAGATTATATTGCGTTGAGAATGATCTGACGCCCAGCTTCGTTTTGAAAGCTAGTGGCAACTCCTGCCGCGTGCAGGCGCGGCAGCTTCTGATGTTGCTTTACTTTACTCAGATCCTCTTGCTCCGCCCACCCGTGTCTCATTCTTCTCCGCCCTCGAGTGCCGAAGCGTTTTTGGGGGGCGCGCCGAGGGGGCGCCAAAGTGTGCTTGGCGAAGAAGGAGGGGCCCTGGGTGTTCTCTCGTTCCCTTACTTGCCTGATCATGACAGCTGTTGCGCTGCGCTTCTTTTTGCACGCCGCTGTCGTGATCGGGGCGCAGCAGGCGCGATGCAGATTTTACGCTCAGCTGCCTCGCAGTGCTGAGGATTTGAGGAGTAAAAGGGTGGCAGGTTCTTTTCTCCTTTTCCCGAGTCCTGCCCTTGCGGGCGGGATTCGGGGCGGGGTGTGTGAATAGAACCCGTATAGTGCCCGCATATCTACTCCTTATCCTCACTCTCCTGCGCCTGGCCGTTTGGGCTCAGGTATTGGAATAGATCGATCAGACTTTTGATCGTGCCCATGCGCAGAAGGTGAGAAGGCGGAAGTTTCGGGCTCGAGGCTCGAGGTCTTCGCACGTTTTCTCGTCGTTTCTCGGTGGGTTTCCAGCCAGGGGGTGGGTTCCAGCGGCTGCGCCTCGCCGAGGGCGTTCCGGGGGCGCCCGGATCGCCCCGAACGGCCGCCGGCGAGCCGAGCTACGACCCAAGAGTTGCCAGGCGTCCGGGAAGGAGGAGGCCTCCTCAGAAGGCGGCGGGACACTTTTCAGAAACCCTCGCGCCTGCTGTGAAATTTTCTGCGCCCTCGGGCAATAGGCTTATGTCGGGCGTGTCCCGCTACAGGGGGATTTTCGACGAAAAAATAAAGATTTTCGAAAAATCGTCCCCAGATTATTTTTGGAGTATTTTTGGATTATTTCTGGGGTATGTTTTATTTTTCGTCGAAAATCCCCCTGTAGGGGGACAGGCCCGACATAACATTAGGCCGCAGGAACTCCTCAGCAGGCCGGGGGGACTCCCGAGCCCCTGACAAGGCCCGCTCGTTTCTCACTTTCAGGGGGGGGAAAAACACACAGACACAACTAATCGTCGATTCCCCAGGAAAACAGACGAAAATATGGGAAGTGGGGGGGAAGACAGAAGCCCAGAAAATATGGGAACATATGGGGCATCTGGCTACTTCTGTGTATTTCTTTGTGTGTCCTGGGGCCCCTTCACACTTCCCCCCCGGGCTCGCCGCCGATGCATGGCTGCCGCCCTGGCGCGCCGATCGCCAGGGCGCAGACAGAAAACCCCGCCCCGACCCCCCCCCCCACAGCCTCCGGAGCCTCGCCAGCCCAGGGCGACCTTTGCAGGCAACCCCGGGAGAGAGCTGCATGCGAGCTCAGATCTTCCTTTGCGTTTCTGCTTCTCGTCTTCTACATCTCGATCATCGACCGAGAGGGGGGAGGAAGGGGACGACGACGAGAGCTGCGGGCCCGAGCCGCGGTCGCCCCCCCCCTTCCCACCGCCCCACCCGCTGGTCCACCTTGCCCTCCTCCTCTCTCTCTCTCTCGCCCCTTCTCTCGGGGTCTAGAGTCTAGATTGAGAAGGAGGAGGGATTGGACGACGACAGCCGCGGGCTCGACCCGCGCTCGCGCTTCCCCTCCCTCCGCCCCCCCGCTCGCCAGTCCGCCCTGCCCTCCCGAGCGGGCCGCGGCCGCCGCCGAG